CGTTTAATACCGGAGTTTTCAGACAAAGAAGCTGATTTTACCCTCACCTTCGCACGTCCGCCTCACGTCCCTCTTTAGTGACCTTTTCTTCCTCTTCGGATAGTTAGTTCCTTCCTTTGCTATTTTCCGGTTCCCTCCCCCATGTCGGCTCTAATACGGACCGAATAGGTTTGTCGAGGTTCCAACTTCAACCCTTCTCCATCGGATCATTTCCGGTCTTCCACTACTTCGATTCTTGGCATCGAACAGGTATGTAGACCTATCTCCGATCATCCCTTCCATTCTGAAGGTGTATTGAAAGAGAGCCTTACTGTTTTATAGATCACAGAAGGTTCGGTCATCGCACCATTGCACAATCGCCGCAAGCAAGCTTTTTTGTGATGGGAGGAAAAAGAGATGCACCAAGCTCACCAAATGGTTTTAGGATGGCGCCTAGTAAAGGGATTGTTCGTAGGTTTGTGAGAGTGAATAGGGAATGACGTCTTCTCCTTACCGGTCACCTTGAAAGCAAACAAAGTGATTCCGGTAGTGGTGCAAAGCACCGTCGCGGTATTGCAGCTCACGGAAGTTGATCGGCATTGAAGATGCGATAGAGGTCTGGGTCGTCTCCAAAATATTTACTGGTTGTTAGAGGGCAAATATGTATTTTAATCTGATTTTATGTTTGCGTACGCAGTAAAAAGAAAATGTAACCAAATAAGTAATAATTTGCCTAAAGAATTTTTGGGAGAACTCTGTTTACTGATAACTGTTTCTGCACCGGCTTATGCAAAAAGAATGGCGAAATCAAATGAGGCTTTAATCTAAATTAAGTTTTCGTCTGTATGAAAGTAATCTTTTTATATTAAAATTTTACTAAATTTTTCTTGACAACCAATGTTGATCCCAATTTCCAATCATGTATGAATAAACTAATATTTTTAAAATTAATTAATTTAGGTTTCCACAATTTTTTTTTAAAATCTAATGATATATTTAGTGCTTATTTCTCCAAATCATGGCAAAATTTCTTTTAAACTCAAAAAATTTTTGAGTTTAATATGACATGAAATATTTTATATATTTTATTAATTTTATAATAAATTTAGTGAATTTCAAGATTGCTCTAATATAATTTTTCAGAAGATAACAATGTTGTTCATTACAACAGCAGCCACGGTTGAAAGAGTAAATGCTATAAATTATAAGTTTTATATTATTTGATATTAGTATTTCATTTTTTTAATAATAAATTTAATGAAAAAAAAATAAAAACCATCAAAATCAAGTCCGAATAAGAAACTCATATTTAAAAATTAAAATTAAAGCTTTATTTGGGATAATTTTTTTTAATTGTATTGTTTTTCAAATAACAGCCACAAATTTTATTTCACTGTTTTTTTTTCCTACTTACAAATTCACCTCTAAAGAAATCTTAGACTTCGTTTGGGACGATTTTTTTAGTGTTTTTTAAAATAGCTTTCTACTCAGTGGGGGGAGGGGGGTAAGAAATTTTATTCGGGGGGCTAAATTAAATGCTACTGGAAAATGACCTATTACAGGCAGAATTTTCAAACGATTATCTGACGGTCAATCTTCCAGCGGTCAAATTTTTTACAGTTTATCATCTCATTTGAAATGTTAGAATACATTAAAATAATTGTATTTGTCATCTCCTTACTGGAGCCAAGAGGAGTTGTAAGATCAAAATTAAGAATGTAAATAACATGGTGAGAGAGGAGCAAAAGGGAAAAAGAAAGTCGTGCTCGAGGTTGTGAGAGAGGAGCAAAGAGGAAAACGAAGCAGACAGTTTGGGTCAAGGAGAAGCAAGCCATTTGAGAGCGGTCTCCGTTTGGGCCTGTGATATGCTATTGTTACCACAATAAAAGTTTTTATAAGAAAGTTATTGTAAAAATTATTAAGAAAATTATTTCGAACAAAGTCTAAAGCATATTCTTGCATGTTAAATCATGAAATTGTTAGGTCTTATTTTTTATAAAAAATAATGCTAATTTTTTTATATAAACTGATCATCCACACTTAAATTTGCTTTAAAATAAGTGAAAACATAAAAAAATGCAATGAAAATGTATATTATATATATCTTAAAATAAATACAATACTTTTAAGATTCATTTCGACAAAAAATTATAAATAAATTATGTAAATATTTTTTTATGAATATATTATATGTAGTAAAAATGGTGACTGATTAATTATACATCAATCTATTATTTTTCTTATAAAAAAATATGAAATAAGCTCTTATGTCACATGCACCAAAGAAAATTAGATTATTATTATAATATTATTATTTGTAGGCAGGTCTAGAAATAAAAATCACTCTTATTTTAAAATTTTCTAAAATCAATTTTAAGTCTTAAATGAGCAACTTCACTATATATTTAGACACCTTTAAATCGTCGTAGAATACGCTCGATCAGCTTGAAAGTTGAAGTCTCTAATTAGATATTAAAATCTTAATCTTAAACAAAATTTTTAGTTATTAATTATCAAGCATTAATGACTTCTGCATCTATAAAAATAATGCATTTAAATATTTAAATTTATAAGATATATTAAGTATAAGTGAAACATCATGATTTGGGTCAATAATATTTTTATTTTATTAGATTTTTTTTTTTATGGGTAGGATAAGAATTCAAACTCTCGCCGCTAGGATTTTCAAAGTTATTTGCAACGAGAGGTGTAAATAAGTAGAGCGGGTCGGGTTCTAGCTTAATCAATTCAAGCTCGTTTAATTTATAATGTGCTCGAGCACATATGTTGAGATCGAGCTCAGCTTGAGTGAAAAATGTGAGACTCAAGCTGTTCTCAAATGCTCGAGCTCGATAAAAAATTATTTTAAGAACCAGTAAGAAAGTCATCCCAAACGAAATCATAATTGATGTTGCATCCATGCCTCTCTTGACCTAAATGTGCATTGTCATTTTGACTCATGGTCATTATTTTGGGAAAAGTAGGGTGGAAAACATCCTAATTATAATAAGGGACCCATACAATTGGAGCAGATGAGCCCTCACCATTAGGGGTGTCAATTTCGGGTCACGGGTCGGGTTCAGGTCGACATGCATAAAAATTTCTCTTAGAATTTATTCACAAAGCAAAATAGCTTCTTAGTCCTCTCATGCAACACATAGAATTGGATTCAAGAATATACACAATCCAAACTATTAGAGAATATAAAATTAAAAAAAAACAAAATCATTCATGAAAATGAATATTACATCCGCAAAATATTCAAAAGATTACATAAAAAATCCCTTTGATAAGCAATATACAATGAACAATAATATGAAGACCTCCTTCCTTGGTTCCCACCTCTTGGTGCCCCTCAAGATTTTTGTGAGGCCAATGAAGATGTTGCTTCTTTGATCAACAAATCAATATCTCTAATTAATAGTTGTAGACTCTTTAGAAAAATTCCTAGCTTAATGAGAAAGCTTTTCATAGCCATCCATCATGATTATGATGTTTTCAAATTTTTTTTAAACAAAACAATTAAATGCTAAAACCTATGAGTTCCTTGGATGAATATATATGAGATAAGCCATAATGTAGATACTCATCTCCATATATTCAATCTCATTTTACTCCAATAATCAATCTGCTCTAAATCCTTAGGCTTGAATCTTTTTTTCAATGAAAAAAGTTTAGCATTTATGTTCATCAGAGTATCTCTCAACTCATATATTTTATTGTTGATCTAAGAGTGCACTCTATTAGCAACATCATAAGTCAAAATTGTAAATATTATTTTCTGCAAGTCCAAATTAATTCATCCGTGATAGTTTGATATGTTAACCACCTTCATTCCATTAATGATGAGAATCAATGTTGGGTTCATAACAACTTGTGGGCGATCCTATGAACCTACATCTATCATTTGTCAATGTTTTAGTACATTTCTTTAGTTGAATGTCTTGTGAAATTGCAAAGATTGGCAGATCTTAAAATTAGGGGAGACCACATGCTAAAAATTCATTATTAAAAGTCATTCCTTCCATACATTTAGAAAGAAAAATTCTAGAACTAGTAATGCCAACATATGTTCATATTCTCTAATGTAATGCTAAGATATTATAAATTTGGATTAGATAGTAAATATTTTTTAAAAAAATTTATATTTAAATTTCTAAATTCTAATATATATTATATTAATATTTTTAAAATAAGATATTTCTTAAGAAGCTTACTCAAAGTTAATTTTTTAGTTTATTAAACAAATCTTATGGTTTTTTTGAATATTTAAACTGGTTAAGATAAATTCACACACATATTATATATGTAAACTTTAAATTCAAAATACTTTAATTGATACTCAAAGCTCTTAATTAGGGATGGTGTCAAAATCGAGTTTTGGGTCGAACTCGGAACTGACACGGGTTCAAACGGGTTGACCCTAATCCGACCCGGTTATATGAATGGGTCGAAAGTTTAGACCCAGACCCGACCTGTCAGGTTATCGAGTTGACCTGACTCGATGCGGTTTTGTAATCCTGTGACAGATGGATGGCGGGACCGCGGGGCTCGCATCGACGGTGGGAAGGCGCGGCTCGTGTCGACGGCAACAGGCGAGGGCAACGTGTGACAGAGGGAAGACACGATCAATGCGAAAGATCGGGCAGGCAGACGAACGTGACGGCAGGCAGATGCGGTCAACTTGTTTCAAACAGGACCAAGTTGAGTTTGAATTTCCAATTCAACCCAAATCCGACCTATTTTTTAAATTAGTCGAATCCGGTAACCCGAAACCAATCCACTTGTGAAACAGATTGATCTTAATCTGCAATTTTTGAATCAAATTCAGAGTCAAGAATTTTGAGGTTGTCTCAAATATTGACACGCATGTTCTAACCAACCGCTCAAAAAAAAAAAGCTTAGTTTATTTAGCCAATGAAATTGAAGCTGACACGTAAGTTACCCTTACGCCGTAAATAGCGAACACGTCTAAGTTCAATGAACATTTCGTCGTGCCAACTATAAATTTAGAGCCGGACCTGCCCACTTAAAAGTATTCGATCAATCGATCATCAGTCGCAAAACCCTCTTCGCCTGAAATCATCTCTAGTCACTGGGAAAATGGCTTCCAGCCCTCTACCGGAGCCCGTCCAGGTCTGCGTCAAGGCCGTCGCTGGCTCACCGGACATCATCGGCGACTGTAACATATATCTTCCTTTCACTTCTCTCTTCCTCGTTGGTTCTTGATGTCTTCTGCTAAGCGCATCTATGGTTAAATTAAACAGGCCCATTTTGTCAAAGGGTTCTTCTAACTCTGGAAGAGAAGGGAATTCCCTATGAAACGAAGCTGGTTGACTTGAGCAATAAGCCGGATTGGTAAATTGGACTTTTTCTTCGCCTTTTTTGATTTGGCTAGCTGGGCTCTTTTTTTGTCGCAAGTTTGATTCGAATTGTGTTTTTTAGGTTTTTGAAGATTAGCCCGGAGGGGAAGGTGCCGGTGCTCAAGATTGAAGAAGACCAATGGATACCCGACTCGGATGTCATAACTCAGATCATCGAGGAGAAATACCCCAGTCCTTCTTTTGCGACTCCACCAGAGAAAGCATCTGTGTACGTCTTTCCTTCTATTATATCTGTATTAGTCATTACTATTTTCTTTGAAATAGGGACTTGCAATTGCAAGTGTCGTGAAGTATAATTGCAGTATCTACTGACCTTTTGTTCTCGATTGTCTTTGATGTAATTGGTATAAGGTCTATTGTTGCTTGAATTTTATTTTATTTTGGTTTCTTCCACAGTTCCCCTTGCATATCTGAAATAATTTTATGTACATATCATTTTAGGTACTACTCTGTAGTTTCTCTTGCTCCTTTCATGCTTCCCGTTGATTTATGTTCTATACCGTTTCAAAAAACCAATTAATTGTCATAATTCACAAATGAAAACTAATACACTTTGTAATATTTTCTAAATAAAAAATTCTAATTTGACCAGGGACCTACCTTGAACAATTTTCTCATGGCATGCAAGGTCAGTTGAGTACAACATGCTTTTTTGGCATTTATATGTCACTTGGAAAAAATATTGTTTTGACAATTGCACCATAGGCACTCAAATGAGATTAGACTGGCCTAGCATTTTAAGCCTTCCCAGACAGTGCATAGACAAGGCATATAGTTCATTATCCTGTTTTTGAAAACTAATCTTTATTCCATGTAACTTATCTAGGTTTCTAATGTTTCCTTGTGATCTTTTTTTTGTACGTTAACATCATAATTCACGACTTACATCTAACAAGAAGTTCAACTTAAATCCTACTTGGGGTTTTGTAGCCCCAAGAAATTGAGAGAAGAGAGTATATTAAAGTTGGTGCTTGTGTCCACCTGCAATACTATTAATTGCAAAGCTTAAGCAAAAGTTTAAGCTTACAACAATTGATGTCTATGACCAAGAATAATTCTGTTGCATTTTCTTCTATGCATGACTGCGTGTTAGATTGCATGAAAGTCGAGAAGGGCGTTCAAGGTTGCTGGGTTTGTAGTATCCATTGTTCTAAGTGCTCCTTATATTTTTTCTTCTGTTTATAAACTTTTTTTTTGTTAGGTAAGTTTTTTGCTCACTTCTTTATTTAGATCCGAATGTTTTATTATTTTCCTTCTACCCTTTTTTTACCTTCTTTGACTTTGTGACTCTACACAGGTTCGATGGGCATTTGTACTAAGGATTAGGTGATAGAGAGTTAACATAATAGAAGTACAAGGATCATAGTTGAAGTAAAGTACGAAGAAAATTGGTTCCTCATTTTTACAATGTGGGATTTTTCCATTGTCTTAGGACAATGATTGTATTATTGCCTTAGTTGGTGTGTTTTTTTTTTAATATGGATATGCTATGAATATAACATGAAAAATCATAGATTTCCTACATCGATTTATTCATTTATTCTCGTTCGTTCTTGACTAATAGCTATGAAATATGGATGCATATCTTATGAATATAAAGAAAATAATTAAAATAAATAATTGCCCTCTAATAAGGTGGTGGAAAATTTTAAAGTTGAGAAATTGTTAATCTTTCAAAATAGATTGTTAAGAGAGGCAAGCCAAATTTTATTTGGGTTAAGATGGCTTGTTGCATCAAGAAGATTTTGTAGAAGTTTTAGGATACCATGATTGGATCATACATTAATAAGGAGACTTGGTGGTGAAGCGAGGATGTACAAAATATTATTTAGAAAAATAAATGTACTTTTAAGGAGTGACTAAAATTGAATTCTAGTTTTACTTAAATGATCATAAAGAGACTAGAAATTATTAATGATTTAAACCAAATAAAGAATGTAAAAACTAAAAAGTAAGTGATTTGAAGATTTTGATTATTTTAGATGCATTAGTATTAAAATAGTATGATCTTAAATCTTAATTAAAGATGAGGACATCAGGGAAAGTTGAAAGTACTATTTTGAGAAATTATTAAATGAGAGTTTTAAGGAATAATTTTTTTTGGAAGACCAGCAAAAATAAAATAATAAATCATCTTATTATTTGATTCAAAAAAATAAATTGGATTTAGTTCTAAAGAAGATGTATAAGAGTAAAGGTTTGGATCTAGTTGAGATATCTATTGAAATTTGGAGGCTTATGTGAGATATTGTAGTAGTTTGGTACATAAATCTTTTCAAATAATTTTTAAAGGCTAAGATCCAAATTTGTAGAGAATAAGCATTTTAGTATAAATATTTAATGACAAAAGAAATGTTCACTATGGAGGAATCAAATTTATGAGTCATATGATAAAGTCATTGGAGAGAGTAATGAAACTTAGACTTAGAATGATTATGTTAATTTCTGAGAATTAATGTTTTAACTCTATGAACATGTATTATGGAATTGATTTGTGTTTAAATACAATTAATGGAAAAAGTATAGAGAGTAGAGAAACAATTTTCACATGATTTTTATTGATCTTGTGAATATATATGATCGAGTACCATTAGAATTGATTTTATGCGCATTATGAAAGAAAGATATGTTAAAGGTGTATTGAAGTTATTAAAGATATGTTTCATAAAGCATTGATTACTATCTTGAGAATATAAATAATCAAGTATCATTAGAATTTATTTTGTACACATTAGAATTTATTGTAGGTATATATAAGCTCTTTCAAAGTTGTTACATATGGATATAGATCAGTGCTAATTACAAAAAATAAAATAAAAAAATCTTAAATAGGTGAGCTGATGATTATGTGGCGGGGAGGAACACATGGATTTCAATCCAAGGAATATGAGGGAGAAGATCTAATGGCTTAACTCCTCAATCCGTGTGCTCAAGGATCTATATTATGATTAGCAGCATAGTGAGACCCACGGATCCAACCCTAAGGTAGAAAACGCTGCCAATTGTCCTGTAGATGTGAAGGATTTGCAGAGTGGATCTCATTGAGGTGTGGGTCCCCATGGTCTTCAATATTTTGCATGTGTTTGTTTTTGTCCCTCAGATCCTGCTTGCTGTTTTTTCAGCATGCTCAGAAAGTAAAATGGCACTGCTTATTGTTGTTTGGATAATATTGTCTTTTGATGTGTTTAAACAATACATAATTTGTTGTCAAAATGGAAATTCTGCATACATTATATTTACGAGATTTAAATGGGCAAATTGTCATGAATTAGTCATTTTATGAGACACTTGGACATGAACATCCTTGAGATTCAATGGCTGTTTTTCTGGAAGATCTGTAGGCAGTTCCATTATACGAGTTTATCTAGTGTAGCTTTAAAATCTATGTTGGAATGGAAACTACAATTATTTAACTTTTTTTTTGTTAATTCAGGGGATCAAAAATATTTTCCTCTTTTGTGACATTCTTGAAGAGCAAGGACCCCAATGATGGATCAGAGCAGGCATTGCTGAATGAGTTACAGGCGCTTGATGAACATCTTAAAACTAATGTATTGACATGTCCATTTGTTTATGTCTTTCTGTGGTAATTTTGTTCTTTGGTTCTCTTAGTTTATTTTCATTTTCTTTTGTATCCCAATTTTTTGTTCTTTATTCCTCATTTACTACTCTCTTGGTTCATTTTGGGCAAAGTTTAAACATGTGAGATTTATTTCTCTTTTTGTTCTTTTGTACACTTGGTATTCTTTTTTTCTATCGGCCAAATTTTAAGATAATTTGGAAGGAATCCTCTTTTAATTTGTGCTGGCTATTGCTCTTACACCTTGGAGTTCATGCAGTATATTTTATGAAAGCCCTGGTTTTTCATTGACAAAGATAGCTTTTGTTGCTCTTCTGGCTGTATCCTCCTGATTAGGATTCTCAATTTTCTATACGAATTATATGTTCGTGATTTTATTGTTTTAGTGTCAAAGTGTTGGGAGTTTTCTTATAATTTAATTTGAAAAAAATGATGTTTTGAATTATAGGTTGAGTACAAAACTATTCAGTCAGCAATGCTCTTCGAACTTGTTTAAACACGTCTAGTTTTTCTCTTTTTTTCTAATATTGCAGGGACCATATATAAATGGAGAAAACATTTCTGCTGCTGATTTCAGTCTGGCACCCAAGTTATTTCATCTTGTGGTTGCCCTTGGTCACTTCAAAGGCTGGAGCATCCCAGAAAACTTGACCTATGTTCATGCATACACAAAGGTATCCTCATTAGTTGAAACTAGTATTGTTTTTGGCCGCTGCTGCTGCTCGTGGTATCTCTTGTCCAAGTCCAAATATTTACCAATTTTTACAATTGATTATCTAGGCTTATGAATTTTTGAGAAACATTTAATTTATTATCATTTCTTAATAGCTGAAATATGTGACGCAGCTTATAATGTTGAGCACACTATACCTTTCTTATTCATGAAGAGATTTCCCATTTGAGACAACGACATATTTCTTTCCTCGTCCGAAGTTTTTCATTGTACATTTTCGATTGTTTTTGCAAGAAAAAAGCCAGTTATAATTTAATTTCGGTTTATCCGTCCAGTTACTTTTCAACCGAGACTCCTTTGTGAAGACCAAACCAGCTGCAGACGATTACGTGATTGCTGGATGGGCACCAAAAGTGAATTCTTGAGAAACTACTATCTGTTGCTGGTACCACTTATGCTTTGTTGCACCTAAAGTTATGTGTAGTTTACCCAAATGCTGCTATTGATTCTGTGGATCTACTTGTTTGCAAACAATGAAAATGGTATGTTTGGTGTAGAGAAGTAATTTAGCCTACTTGGATAATAAAATTTCTAATGACCGTATCCAAATTTAGTTTTATATTTTATTTTGATGCCTGGAGTTGAAGTGATTAAAGTTTTATTTGGGACGGCTTTCTTACTTCTTCTTAAAACAATTTTTTAGTATAAAAATTATTAAAAAATTGTTTTAAGAAGTAATAAGAAAGCAGTTCCAAACAAAGCCTAAATGTGATGGTTCTGACTGCTTTACATAGCTCATTTTTTATAAATTTGCTAGCTTAATTAGGCTGCTTGAATTTCCCCTCTACATTATGGTAGCAAAGTTATGTATTCTCCTTAGAAACATCAAGGAAATCGTCCTGAACGAGGACACAGTTTTATCGAAGAGTGACTCCAGTTTTTTGTTGGTATTCTTTGCTCTGAATAGACGACTTTAGTTGTGCCCTGCGCCAATCGTTCAATCATTCAAGTGCGGGGCGTTTCATAGGTTCTGTCACGACGAATGTTGTTCACTGTCATGCTAGAAGGGTGCATGTGGGCTGTATCTTGCAAGTTAAAAAAGGAGTGTAAACGAGTCTGAGTCGAGTGTCTGTTTAATCGAGCTAAAGTTTGTTTAGTGCTAATTGAGCTCGTGCTCAAGCTCGTTTGCTAAGTTCGAACTCGACTCGCTAAAAAAAATTATAGGCTCAAGCTCGACTCAATTGCTTGAGCTCGTTTAGAAAATTGGAGCTCAACTTCATTGTTGAGGTTGATTTCTTTGTTTTAAATTAAAAAATTCAAGTTTTTAAGAATTTTTAGTTTTAAAAGAAAATTAAATTAAAATTATTAAAATATATTATACAATGTTAATTTAAATTAATTATTAAATAATTTTAATTTAATTGAGCTGCTTAACGAGCTTTCTAGCAGAGCCAAGCTTGAGCTCCAGCGTGAGCCACACATAAATTTGACTCATGAGCTTGTTAATAAGTTAAGTTTTAGCCGGTTCAGATCACTTACCATCCTAGTTAGAAGACATCTCTAAAGAAGGAAGACTAGCTGTCATTTGGAATTTTTTATATTAGTTTATGTTATTCAATTTATAGCCTCCAAAAGCCCTTGATGGGTTGGCAATAAAATGCTTATCTGAGGGTCCTACAACCTCGAGTAAAAGCAAGTAGAGTTGTGGGATTGTTGCAAGCTCTTGTGGATGATATATATCTACTTTTTTATTCAAATGAAATTGGATTTTTTTTAAACTATTGCACTAGTGGGCAAGAAATAGAAAATGTGGAGGTAGAGTGAATATATATATATCAATATAAATTGTATTAGTAATGGTTGCTCTCCACAAAAAATCCATAAATTCGGTCCATATTTGTGGAGTAATTGGGGTGAAATTATTCTGTATGGTCCTCGGACGTCATTCAGAGGAGGATTAGGACGCATTATATCACTTTTTGTTGTGTGCCGGTGTACCGGTGCTATGTGCGTACCGAGTGACGTGATATATCTTGATTCTTCTTCGGACTGTCTGATAACCGCACATAATAATCTCTCATAATTGAACTTGACTAATCTTATTAATATTTTTATTTCTATGATCATTATTAAAACAGATAGTGGAGTCCCACTTATTTGCCTTTCTATTGCAGAAAAGAACAAAGGCCTCATGAAAGAACTCTGATAATTTCTTTTGTAAGGGAAATTATTAGTACCTCAATTTACACTTAAAAGATAAAAACTATTGAATTTATTCAGATTCTTATCAGATAACATTTAGGTTTCATTTGAATGTCTTTCTTATTATTTTTTAAATCAAATTTTTTATACAAATTATTATTTTTTATTAAAAAATTGTTTTAAAAAATAGAATGAAAGTCGTCTCAAATAAAACTTTAGTAAAAATATTATCATATAGAACCATTTGATAGGTCCTAAATGCTCGAGTAATCATCCAATGTCCCATTCAATGCAGAATATATTATAAAGATCATCAAATTTTAAATTAATAAAATTGTATTATTGAGATATTTTTATCATATATTTTATATGCTAGTATTAAGTTTATTCTTATGTTGGAAGATTAAAACATATGTTATTATAAAAATATCAATTATGAAGAATTAATCGATGCATTTTATTAAGATTGATCTATCTTTTTGTCTATGCTCAAGAATTAGTTTACAGTTTAATCATTTAGGATCTATTTGTGACAGCTTTCTTACTATTTTATTTTTTAGGCAGCAATTTTGTATATATTTTTCATAAAATTCTTTTGATCTTTTAAATATACAAATCACTCTGGCTTTTTTTTTTTTTTTTTTTAATTTTTTTTTTTTTTTTTGAAAAAATGATTCTAAAATTGAATAGAAAATGATGCTTACACAATGATGAAATGTAAGGCTTCATTTGGGACAGTTTTCTTATTAATTTATAAAGCAACTTTTTAGTACAAAAAATTTTAGCTTAAATAAATTAATTTTGTATTGAAAAATTACTTTAAGAAACAATAAGAAAGTTGTGGCTTCGTTTGGGACAGTTTTTTTGTTGCTTTCTAAAACAACTTTTCAGTATACAAATTTTTTGAATTAGAAAATTTTATACTAGAAAGTCGTTTTAGGGAGTAGTAAGAAAGTTGCTCCAAACGAAGCCTAAGTGTATGAAAAATCATTTGGATCCTTTAAGCATGTGTCAACAACTTATTTTCATATGTGAATATAAATAGGTATAAAACTACTTAACCAAGAATAAGCATCACTAAAATATAGCTTCATTGTTTATGTTTTAAAAATGCATCTAATATATTGCATGAAATATTCATTTGCATAAATGTTTAAAAAAAATGGTTTTGAGAAGCTGTCCCAAACGAAGCCTTTACACCCATAGGCGGCACTCTGTCAATAATCTCTCAATGAGGGAAATTATTGGATTCGGACACCGGAAGACGTCTAGAGTCTAATGAAAATGCACCACATCACCCTCTACTCGGTACTGAGTTTTATATGAGCTCGGTACTCCACAGTAACAAGCAGTATTGAGCTCAGTACGATCCTGTATTGTGGAGTACCAAATTCAGTACTTCACATTACCGAGTTCAGTATTATTCAGTATTCTGAAATACCTATAACTTGTGTGCGGGGTCCAAACTCAATAATCTCTCAATGACGCCTTTAAACCCTTGACCGGCCTTGTTTCATTTTTAAAAGCGCGGCCTGTCGTTCGTCACCGCTGGCATTTTTCTCTATCGACTTTTCTGCCAGAGCGCCATTTCTTCCCCCGGTTCCCTGCATTATTCCCTGGTGAAAGAAGGGAGGCTTTGGCTTCGATCGACTTCTCCGCCAAGGTCAGTTCTCTATCTGATCTCCCAATCGCTCATCTATTGTGCCACTGGCTAGTCATTTGAGGAATCAATCCGTTTTCGTGTTTTTGTTGACGTCTGATATACAGATCTAGTATTTGATTGATGCATGCCGTGAATCTGATAGATTTTTTCACTTACCGATCGTGATATTAGCCATTTCAGATGTTAATTCCTTTCGATTAGTTGCAGCGAAATTCGAATTGATATGTTGTTGATGTCATAATGTGTTGGCTTCTGTAGCTTGATGTGGGATACATGTATGGTTTATGAAGACATTTTGTGAACCGGTAGAATCCAGTACATCGAGATATAGGGATTCTCTAGTGTTTTAATGAAGGGAAGCAAGGTGGTTAGATGACTAGTTGCCTTTTCCTGGATAAGAATTTTTTTTAGCTGTTGGATTTCAGTTTGATGCGCAGGACTTTAGATCTCAAGTATTCTGTATTCATCCCGATTTTAGTAGCGGGGATCTATGAATTTCAATTTCGGTGACGCTCATTTGAGAATTTATTAGGAAATGATGGCGTTGATTAACTCGAGAGCATCGCATGCCCTTTTTTGTTTTCTTAAATGAGAGGTGAGATATTGATGATTGTCCTGTCAATCTGTCAGCAGTTTAATATCAGTAGCATGACTGTTTTGTTATCTAATGGATTGCGTCCCTTTTTCTTTTATATCTTACAACTATTTTAAAAGGAACTATTAGGCATTAACGGCCAGATCTAGGTTCTCAAGGTTTCTTCTTCATCCCCGTGGTACCCTGCTCCCCTTCATGTATGATCTATGCATTTTAAAGAAAATTTTGGATCATTTAACTTTTCAATCCCTTGAAATAGACGAATGAAACATAATTTCATGTTGCAGACGTTATAAAAGTTATTGTTAGTTGTAGAAGAATTCTTCATTGCATCTGTCATATATGAGTCACTGAGACCATCAACAACCAATTGATTTAGTGACTTGTGATTAAGGAATCTTCTTTTTCTTTGCCACATTTTCATGTTTTGTGTAAACTTGCTAACTAGTATGTTTATTTAATACGTTGAAAAGCAGCAAATCATAGTTGAATTTTTGTCCCTGATATTTTGATCCTGAAGATTATTGACAGCATTCTGATTACCATAAGTTTTGTATTCAATGATATCGAGAAAATACTTTTATCTCACTTAATGATGCTTTATACAAAAATGTATTTTTTTTAAAGTATAACTTTTTTGTATTATTTGAACTTTTTATGAAACGCAGTCAGAGTATCTGTCATATTTTTTAATTATCTTTTTTTTAATGGCCAATAATTGCCATGACTGAGCGAATTAATAGTGATTGTAGAGTTGTTTGGGGTTTTTATTTATAATCTTAAACTCTTTTTATATTAGGTGTCTTCTTATCGAATGATATATATACATAAATGATTAGGAAACCATCAGTTTAGTTTTTTCTAATGTTTTTTTTGTATTTTATTCAACGTACCCACTGTCAAGTCTTAATTTAAAAAGCTGGTCATGTATTTACCTGAAAGAAGATTTCATCTTCCTGGGCTATGTGCTTCTAGTATCTGATATCAGAAATGCATTTCACCTTTTTCGTCTTTCATTAGTGGGAATTCTTTTGGATGTCATTCATGAGTCATTTGATTTGTTTATCATTATAAATGTTTGATTTCTCTATTCTTTTGCTCGATCTGTTAAATTTGACAAATAATCTATTATTTTTTCTGTAATGAAAAACATTAATATTTATCATAGTATTGAAATTAACCAGGGAAAATGGTCTAATACATCTTTTGCCTTGGAAAATGTAGCAATGTATGTTTTATGCTTCTGTTGAGCTTTTGCTATTTATGTAGCAATTTATGTGGCTTATATCACAATATCATGTTATAGGAAATTGATTGATCAAGTCTATGCTTTCAACCTACCAATGTCAGTTTATATGTAAAGACTAAAATGTAGAAAGGACATATTATGTATGGAAGTGCTAAACCATAGGCCCATAATTAATATGATGCGTAATATGCTTCCAATAGACTTTTGTGTGGTTAAACTACAGGAAATATAAATTATTTTAAACATCCAATATGTTTCTTTATCATACTTTTGACACACCATTCCTAATATCAATTTGAATTATTGAGGACATGTGTTACTACAACATCAGGCCTTTATCCCACTACAACATCAAGATACCCAACCTCTCGTTTGCAACAAAAGAGTGATTGATTATTAGAACATGATTATTGTACGTGACTTATTTGATTCATGCACAATATAATATTTCAAAATAAAATCAGTGATTGATTTTTAGAGCATGAAAATTGAACACAGAAAAATAGTAAAGCTTCCTATGACATTGGTAGAAAATAATATAATTGAGTATCAATTCTACAGACTTTGAGAAAAAATGGCTGATGGTGAAGATATCCAACCTCTTGTTTGCGACAATGGAACCGGCATGGTCAAGGTTTGTTAACATTTATTCAGGTATGACATCATTACAATTCCTTTAAATAACCTTCACGTTAATGTGTTTCAATTCTCCTGCTTCCTAGGCTGGTTTTGCTGGTGATGATGCGCCCAGGGCAGTTTTCCCCAGCATTGTTGGCCGACCACGTCACACAGGTGTTATGGTTGGTATGGGCCAAAAGGATGCCTATGTGGGTGATGAAGCCCAGTCGAAAAGAGGTATTCTCACTTTAAAGTATCCAATTGAGCATGGTATTGTCAGCAATTGGGATGACATGGAGAAGATTTGGCATCACACCTTCTACAATGAGCTCCGTGTTGCCCCTGAGGAGCATCCAGTTCTACTTACTGAAGCTCCTCTTAATCCTAAGGCAAACAGAGAAAAGATGACACAAATCATGTTTGAGACCTTCAATGTGCCTGCAATGTATGTTGCCATCCAAGCTGTGCTATCCCTTTATGCTAGTGGTCGTACAACAGGTATTGTGCTTGATTCTGGTGATGGTGTTAGCCACACTGTTCCAATCTATGAAGGATATTCCCTTCCTCATGCCATACTTCGTTTGGATCTTGCCGGTCGTGACCTTACTGATGCTCTGATGAAGATCCTCACCGAGAGAGGCTACTCTTTCACTACTACTGCTGAACGGGAAATTGTAAGGGACATGAAGGAGAAGCTTGCTTATGTTGCTCTAGATTATGAACAGGAGCTGGAGACTGCCAAGAGCAGCTCTTCTGTTGAAAAGACCTATGAACTGCCTGATGGCCAGGTGATCACCATAGGAGCTGAGCGCTTCAGGTGCCCTGAGGTCCTCTTCCAGCCTTCCATGATTGGAATGGAATCTGCTGGCATTCATGAGACTACCTATAACTCCATCATGAAGTGCGATGTCGATATCAGAAAAGATTTGTATGGTAACATCGTACTTAGCGGTGGCTCGACCATGTTCTCAGGGATCGCTGATCGTATGAGCAAGGAAATTACAGCCCTTGCCCCAAGCAGCATGAAGATTAAGGTTGTTGCCCCACCTGAGAGAAAATACAGTGTTTGGATTGGAGGCTCCATCCTTGCTTCTCTCAGCACCTTCCAGCAGGTAACAATTTTTTGAATTCATGTTTATTATTGTTCCAGCAACATCAATGCATGGTTGATATTGAGTCAAATTTTAAAATACCTAATCAATTTCAACTTGAATGGAGATCGAAACGCCAAATGTTGAGTGATTTTCATGTAATTTTGAGTTTTTTTTTTTTCTTTTTTTTGCAACCTTGCAGCCATGGCGTCATTCTTGTTTTAACATTACTTCTTCCCTATCTGTCTATAATGATGTTCTTGACTCTTCTGATATTATTGTCACCACATGTGAATTTGCAGATGTGGATTTCTAAGGCAGAGTATGATGAATCCGGTCCTGCAATCGTTCACAGAAAGTGCTTCTAAGTTGGCTTCGCAATTTCCATTCATTGAGCAGGTTTTGCCCTTTTCCATTGAATGCAATTGGATGTGTTTGGCTTGCATGAACTGCATATGTTGACGAAAAGAGAAAAAAAAAAAACTCTTCAATTTTCTGAGGCATGTTTCTCCATCCCTTTGTCTGCCCTCCTCCATTCGCTATTTCTGGCATTTCAGGTCTTTTTGTGTATTGCATTTATTTCTATTTGTTTATTTGGAATCAAAAAGGTTATTCTCCTCCTTTTAAACTATCCATATTGCAGTCAAATGATATCAACTGTTTTCTTTTCTGTGCGTTGTTATAAAACTATCTGATTGCCTGACTTTTTTTAATGGAAATTGTGGTGAGAACAATATGAAGTAAACTATAGCTCATTATTAAGATTAGGGGTGTCAATTTGACACGATCCAAAAATCCAACTCGAATCCGACCCGAAAATTTCGGGTTAGGGTCAACCAGAATCCGAAGTGGGTCGTGTTTGGGTTCAACAATTCGACCCATTTCAAAAATCGGGTTGGGTTCGGGTTGATCCTTTGACCAAAAATTGACCCGAAAACCCGTTTTGACACGACAACCCGAGATTGACCCGAAAAACAGAAGTTGACCCGTTTTTGGACCCGAAAACTAGCAATTTTTTGTTGGCACCGGGTCATTCGGGTCGTGTCGTGTTGACCCGGAGCCGAAGCGGGTTGAATTCGGGTTCGAAAAACTGACCCATTTGCAAAAACGGGTCGGGTTCGGAAAACTTAAATAGTGTCGGGTCAATTTTGAGTTCGACCCGAACCCGACCCGTGACCCGAAATTGACACCTCTAGTTAAGATAGGGTGAAGTGATCTTTTTACTTCGTAGCTAGAATTGAGGCTTGTGCTGGCCTTTTTGTATGTTTGATCACAAGAAGTTATTTTTTTGACAACCTTGCTCAAGGTGTAGTGTATGAATTATTTGACCGATTTGACATTGGAGTCTTGTAGTATTTGTGTAGTGGAAGAATTTTTTGGATTAGTTGTGAGATTGTGTCATCATAGTAAATATACATGTGAGCTTGATGTTAGAATGTATCATAGTATTGATATGTCTTCAAAAAAATTCTATTGATTAACATAAATTTTGTGGTCTTATTTGGGTTAGTAAATTTTGAAACTAAGTTCAAAATCATTCAGATTCTGATTTCAATAAATTTATAGTTGAACTAAATGTCTCGATGAGATGAACCGATTGATATGACAAATGATATGATGATCTCAATTCAAATGAGCCAAAATCAAACAATTAAAACATATTTGAAAACTTTGGAATGTTAATTGAAGGACCAAACAATCTTCAAATCTTATGTATTTATAATCAAATCGAGTGGTTTGATGAGATGATAACAAAAATATATATATAATTTATATTTTTTGGTGATCATTGTCGATGACCACAATTAGTAATCACCTTCTTCATCACTGGCCTCCATCATTTTACTCATGCCGCTTGGCTAGTAACGTTCAACTTTGTTATTAAACTTCAAATGTTCGCTTGTGAACACGAGACTTTTGTAATCATTAGAACGGGAATTAAACAATTGCTTTTGATTGTGTAATCAATGTACAATTATATAGTGCATTATTGTGACTTGTTTTTTTTTCCATTTTTTTTTAATTTTTTTATGTAAAAAAATTTATTCTATTATAATTTTTATTTATACGTGTTGAATTTTTATACAAAATTAAAAGTATTAAATACTCTATCGCTATGAATTTTGATGGCCCGTAATAATTATGATATAATGTGCGGATTATAAGATAAAATTTCTAAAATAAAAGAACAATGCAAAAAACTAATTAAAACATTTATAATTTGTTCCATGATAGAACATTCTAGTTGAAACTAGCAAGAAGGGAAGGTTGCAAAAGAAGGGTAAAGTGGGAGTAAAAACTTTCTCTCTTCATAAGGTTTTCTTATAAACTTTTTTTCAACTCAAAATTCACACAATAAAATACAATATAGTATAAAAACTGCAAAGCAAAGCTATAGAAAAAATCTTCTAAAGATTTTGGTGGTGACTAAAGCTATCTCCAATTATGATAAAATTTATAAAGTTTTGATATAAATTGATTGCAAATGATAAAATACAAATAGAGTAAAAGACTGCAATACTGAGAGAGAATAGTTACTTGAAACTTGTAATCAAGGCATTGAAAGAATGCACATTTGTTACTTTTCTTCTTGAAAAGGAGAGGATCTTGTCATCCAAAATAAATTATATTTTATATGTAAAAATATGAGTGGAATGATTAATAAATAATTTTGTTGGAAAATTTAGACCAGTTAAGACAAATTCATATATATATCACATACATAAACTTTGAATTCAAAAATTTTTGGTTGTTAATCAAAGCTCTCAACTAATAGATCAAGGTGAGCTGCGTGAGTGATTAATATATAATAGAAGAATGAATAGAGTTTATTAGTATTTGATGAGTAATTAATTCAATTGCAATCAATTTCCACCATAAAAGTTATGTCGATATCCATTAAGGATTACTGTGGAGCTATAAAAATTTTTGCGGAGATATATACATTTTAACGGCGAGTTGCAAAATTGATGTATATACTAAAAGTTTCATTTACTAAGTAGGGTTGGTTCATGCAGCGCATCTTCATTTGGTAGCTGAGAGCTTTGATTACCAACTTAGAGATCTTGGGTTCGAATTTTACGTATGTGATGTGTGTGTTAGTTTACCTTAATTCGCTTAAATCTCCAAAAAAAAATTTAGGGTGGGTGCCACTTCCTTTGAGATGATCTATGAATAATAACGGGGGCTTATAAATTGCCAAAGAAGAACTAGTTTAGCAATTAAAGCACTATTTATTTAGTATAATTAAAAATAATTTTGTTATATTTTAAGTATCATTGGTGAAGAATTTTTAGAATAAATTCTAATTTAATCTTACAGTGAAATGCCTAAACACATGTAGGTTGTTTTTTAGACTATTTATTTAAATTTCTTAAAATGTATTAATTCATCATTTATAGTTCATTTAAAAGTTGCAAAAGCTCTAAAAAGCAAGTAGATTATCTCATAATCTCCATAATTTAGCTAATATTTTTAAATTGTATAATAATTAATAAATCATTACAAAACTCCAAATAAAAATTTATTATCATCGGATCACTAATAAATCATATGTCTTCATAGGTAAAACAAATTAAATGTCTTGATAATAAATTTATTAAAATATAATGAATTTGAAATTTTGAAGCACTATTATCCTATTAATTAATTGCAAAATGAAACTGCTCCCATCCCATTTAATAAATTCATTTTGAATGATATATTTCATTTCATCACGTTTTTTTTTTAATCATTTTATTTTTACTATATTTATTTTAATTATTTAAAATAAATAAAAAAAATGAAATTGTCTATATCACAAAAAGTTTCAACTATCAAAATAATTAAATAGAATATAAGTACCCTATAAATATATGTATGCCATCATTATTATGCCCTCTATTGCTTTTCTTACTTTTTTAAGTAAACCCAAATAATTCTAGTTTGATTTAGGTTTCATTTGGGATAATTTTTTTTATTATTTTGTTTTTTATATTACAATCATAATTTTTTTGTTACTTTCAAAAATATATATATACTAAGAAGCTGCTTTATACAAAAATTTAAAAAAAAATTTAATTTCTCTAAAACAGCTTTACAAAATATTAAGATAATCATCCCAAATGAAGCCTTAAATTAAGGCTTTATTTGGAATAATTTTCTTATTTCTTTGCTTTTTAAACTACAATAATAATTTTTATTTGGTAATTACTTTTTTTATATTGAAATAAAAATTATACTAGAAAGTTGCTTCCTATAATAGTTTTCTAAAAATTTATTTTCTTTACAATTTTTTAATGAAAATATTCATTTTTATGAGTCGGTTCATATTCTAAATATCAGAGTTTTTCAAATCTTTAATGGAGAACCCTAAATTATTCTTCATTGCTTTATATTTCCTAAGTGAAGGATTATTTATCACAAGAAAAAATAAATAAATAATAAATTAAATATAAGAGTTTTAGAAGTTCCCATGTTCACTTGGAACACATGTAAACATATACTAATTTATTAAGAATTTAAAATATCTAGTTTAATCCATTTGTAGTCCAGAGGCTAATTAGAATGCATTACGTCACCAATTTACTATATATCGGATGACGTATTGCGTCCTGATTAGCCTCCGAATGATCCGGTGACCGCACCTAATAATTTCTCCATGATTGAATTCCATCTTTGCAGACAAGCGTCAAGCTCAACCTTGCAACTCCAACCTCCAACTTTCGTGACTCGACCACTAACTATTATCAGTCCTTGCAATTATGATCCTCCAAGCTCCGCCAACCTCAATTATTACAAAATATAACCCTCGTGCAAATAAATGACAATCGCATGTAGTCTTCTAGAACTCTGAAATCGCACTCGCCAACAACAGCCATCCACTGACAATCACATAGCCCTACCACCATCGTATAGCCCTTAACTTGCGATCGACCGACACCTCAATCTCAACGAACAACCTTGTATTGAATTTCATCAAAAAAAGATTTATTTTATTATATTTAATCAAATCTCAACACTAAATTAAAAAGATAAAATTTTATTTTACCCTTTTTTTGGTCATTCGAATATATCGAACCAAACCGCCCCTTAATACAATCCATTGACAGACACCGAACCATTCGCATGAAGAACCGGAAAGGTCGCTCCTTTCGCACCTGTAGAATTCCGCTTACCTTCTTCTTAAAGAACAAAAACTCTCTATTTTAAAGCTACAGTTTCCTACTTTTTAGGCTAGCCAAATCCGTATGGTTCTCTCCTTATCCGCCCGCTATAAATTACGAGCCTTTCCTCCATTAATTTATCGGTCATCTCTTCTCTTTTCTCTCCCTCGATCACCGCCTGTTTTCTGCGTTTCTTCCTCTCGTAGCAGCAATGGAGCTCGATTTGTCCCCAAAGAATCCTAGGACAGCCTACAGCGGAGATGGAGGCTCGTATTTGTCTTGGTCTCCTGATGATCTCCCAATGCTTCGCGCCGGCAACATCGGCGCCGCCAAGCTTGAGCTAGCCGAGCGTGGTCTCGCTCTGCCTGCTTATTCCGATTCCGCCAAGGTTGCTTATGTTCTCCAAGGTAAGATCTGAACCAGCTTCAGTGATGATGATTGGGTAATTTTAATGTTTGAAGGAGTAAAGCTCTGTTATTGATGAAAGAGCGGTTTTTTTGTAATCTTAATTCAGTTTTGGTTTGCTCCGCCGTATGCTTCAGGGTTTTGAAATTGAATGAATTGGTTTGTTCGGATTTAGGGATTTTGGATCAAAAGATTTTAAGTTTTGGGGGTGGTCTTTGATTTCAGGTTTAGCTTCTTGATTTGATTAAATGTCTGGTTTAAGCAGTAATAAAGATTTCTTTTTTTTTTTAGTAATGGAGAATTTGAGACTGTTCTTTAAGTTTGCCAGTTTCGTTTCAAGGAAGAGGGGTTTTTTTTTTTTTTTTTTTCTGTTCAAGGAAAAGGGTTTTTTTTTTTTTTTTTGGTTTCTGTTTGTATCACTGCAAACAAAACCTTCAAGTGTTTGGAATTGATCAATTTACTTTATCCAGAGGTGCGATTTTCTATTATCGTAGTTTTCACATTTGAGGAAGCTCTTTGATTCAGCTTTAATCATTCAAGAAGAACTGAAGAAGATTAGTATTAATGAAAATTGATTTCTGGGAAATTTGATAAAACTCCAGATCAGTTTTTACACCAAAAAATTATAGATTGTCTACTACTGTTTATGTTTTACAACTCGAACAAATTTATGAATTGAGAAATTAAAACTCTTCTGATTCTGCTCTTCATCCAAAGGGAGCGGCACTTGTGGAATTGCTCTTCCTGAAACGCCAAAGGAGAAGGTACTTCCCATCAAAGAGGGTGACGCTATTGCTCTCCCCTTCGGCGTGGTGACATGGTGGTTTAACCCTAGCTCCACCCAACTCATCATACTCTTCCTCGGCGACACCTCTAAGGGCCACCTCGCCGGCGAATTCACAAACTTCCAAATCACAGGTGCCCAAGGCATTTTCACCGGCTTCTCCACCGAGTTCGTCGTCCGTGCATGGGGCCTCTCCACTGATGATGCTGAGAAGCTCGTTAGTAGCCAGAAGGGTTCTATCATCGTCAAAATCTCTGACAACCAGTCCATTCCTCAGCCCTCCGAGTCCGACCGCAAGGGGCTGGTTCTCAACTGCCTTGAGGCTCCCCTTGATGTCGACATTAAGGGCGGCGGTTGTGTCGTCGTTCTGAACACCCAGAACCTCCCCCTAGTCGGCGAGGTTGGTCTCGGCGCCGATCTTGTGAGGATCTACGGCCACTCCATGTGCTCTCCGGGATTCTCATGTGACTCTGCATATCAAGTCACCTATGTGGTTAGGGGCAGCGGTCGTGCGGAGGTTGTCGGCATTGATGGCAAGCGTGTGCTGGAGACCCGCGTTGAAGCTGGCTACCTCTTCATCGTGCCCAGGTTCTTCGTTGTGTCGAAGATTGCCGATGCCGAAGGCATGGAGTGGTTCTCCATCATCAGCACACCCAAGTGAGTAGCAATTCAAATTTGTTGTTTTCATATTTGTCAACAGGTTGATCAACATTAGCTAAAACTTCACTTGTTTAAATGGGGAGGAGCATAATGCTAAACTCAAAGCAGTTCATCTGAACATGGGGACAACGTCCGGAGGTAAATCAGAGCATGTCAGATCATTGTTTTGTTGTGTACCGGTAGCGGTGTTGTATACAGAATGACGTGACATGCTCTAATTTGCCTCCGAACAGACCGGTGACTTCATAGAATAATTTCTCCCCTTCAACTGTCAATCTGTTGAATTGAGTTCATCATGTTGATAGGACTCCACTGAAGATCTTAAAATGCATGTAAAGTAAGCTGTCATGCTCATATTATGAGCATGAAAATGACTTGCCATGGATTTTGATTTCTCTCTCTATTATAGAGAAAATTATTCTGTGTGAAGATTGGACGTAAAATAATATTCGAAGATCAACCAAAATGTGCCACATCAGCAGTACCGAGCCGCGGTACCGAGCACATGATGATGTGGCGCATTCTGATTGATCTTGACCAGCGTTCAACATAGAATAATCTCTATAATTTAAAATAGAGAGCGATGCTTATTACACTCACATTTGCTCACATCTAAAACAGCATTGATCCCACCGTGAATTGGATGTGCTGTGAATGCTAAATGGGTTTGAAAAGCATATTTGAGGCTTAGGCTTCATTTGGGACGGTTTTCTTACTGTTTCTTGAAGCAACTTTTTAGTACAAAAAGTTTTAGTTTAAAAAAATTTTGGACTAAAAAAATGTTTTAGAAAATAGTAAAAAAGATGTCCCAAATGAAGTTTTAGGATTCATTTTAGATAGCTATAATTTTTTATGAATGTAGTTGTATAATTGTTGTATACAAAGCTATTTCTTTAGAGTTGTTGTGGAAAGCAACTTACTAACACAAAAATTTATTAAAAGTAATATAAATTATGATTGTGATATGAAAAACAAAACATTAATACAATTGTCCCAAAAGAAGTCTTAGAAATTTAGAATTTGTTTGGTGTTCTTTTGGAGTTTTGTTTTCCAAACAATTATCATATTTTTGTTTATTGCCACTTCATAAAAAATTTTAAGTTGAGAAATACTTTTTTTAATATTAAATTTATTAGTGAGTAATAGTAAGAAAGTTGCTGTCTAATTTTTTTTTTTTTAAAAATCATTTGCAATAAGTTTTAAAAAAAAAAGACTTTTCCACAATAATTCTATACTCACAATAAGTTTTCTAATTTTCTAAGTTCAAATATGGTCATGTTTGAGCATCCCTTTCGTTTGTGTTTTGTTTTCCAAATTGTTACTGACCATTTCAAGATTCTGATGGAAATGCAGCCCAATCTTCACCCACTTGGCTGGAAGGACCTCAGTTTGGAAGGCCATATCGCCGGAGGTGCTTCAGGCTTCATTCAACACCTCGCCGGAAATGGAGCAGCTCTTCAGGTCTAAGAGGAGCTCTGAGGAGATCTTCTTCGCTCCTCCCAACTAAAAAAAAAAAAGAAAGATATGCCTATGAGCTTATATGCCGCACCTTTTACTGGTTTTTCCTTCCTGCAAGTAATGAACTGGTTATTTGTTCTGTTATTCCACTAGTTCACCCCTTCTGGTGGACTGTAACTTAATGACTATTGTGTTTTTATTTCATATTATTCATGAATATTTCTGCTTTTGCTGCAGCAGTTGAGAGAGCTGATTAGTCTCATACAAAAAATAATTACTTTGTGATTTTTTTTTTTTTTTTTTTGCGTGGGGGTGAGGGGGATTTAGGCTTGATTTGGAACGATTTTCTTGCTGAATTTTAAAGTAGTTTTTTAATATAAATTTTTTAATTTTATATTAAAAATTTGCTTTACAAAATAATAAGAAAGCCGTACCAAACAAAGCCTTAGACTTTGTTTGAGACAATTTTCTTATTGCTTCTTAAAGCGGCTTTCTAGTATAATAATTTTAATTTTTGTACTATGAAGCTGCTTTAAGAAACGGGAAGAAATTCGTCACAAACGAAGCTTTAGTTATATACTACTTTATATCATGTTATTTATATATCTAAAACTTAAAATTTATTATTTTATGTCTACCACTCATAGATAACTTTAATATCAAATATTTCACTTTTATATATCATTCATATCATTCTATAAATTTTAATATTTCATTCATTGCATTCATATTTGATCTATGAGTGATAGGTATAAAATATTAAAATTTTAGGGATTAGATATATAAATAATATGATATAATTTTTATTTTTCATATTAAAAGGGGAGAGAGCGAGAGAGATAACTTGACGATTCATTTGTTTGAGTGATGTTAGATATTGAAATTTTATAAAAGTCATTATTTATTTAAATATAATAAAACAATTAAAGTTGCAAATATCACAAATATAAAGTTTTATAATAATTTTTTTATTCACAAACAATCAAATAGCATAAACAAAATTTATGAAAAATTTTTAATGTAAAATATATAATAATTTATTTATACATCAAGATGATCCAAAAGCCATATCTAACGCTCAAAATAAAAATTGCCATTTTGAAGTTGAAAATAATTCAATTAAGCAAACAGTTTGTACGAATCAGTTTTCTCCATTCAAAATTGTTCAAAATAATAATTGCACTTTTGACCTTGAGCAAGTACAAATTTTTTTTACTGTAAGAGAATTATTTTCGTCATTTTCAACATCATCAGCCTTAGTTTAACTATAAAAATCAGTACTATTATTTCTCAGTTTTTATTTGTTTAAATTCCTTTCATATATTAAAACTATTCTTTGCATTACTTTAAATAATTTATATACATATAATGTTTAAGTCTATCCCTTCTTATTCCTAATTAGGGATGTCAAAACGGATCAATGGATCAAGTTTGGGTTCAACCCAAATCCAATCAACTCAAATATGACCTATTTACTAAGCGGGTCAAAAATTTGAACACAAACCCAACCTAATTACCCATTTTAATTAAAAATATATTTTGCTTATTTAACTTATTAATCATAAATTTTAATTAATTGATAAAATAGAATATTATACCAATAAATAAAAAAATTAAGAAAAAATATTAAACTGGTCATTTTTCTAGTCAAAATTGAGTTGGTGGGTCAACACGAATCCAAACCGCTGAATAAAGAGGTAAGAAAGCTCAACCCAAACTCACCCCATTTTTCAAACGGAGTCATTTTATTAATACCCTTATTCCTAATCATCTAAGAGTTGTCATCCACCCATCTAACAAGTATATTTTTTATCATTAATTATAATATCCAAACCACATAAATATATTTTCAATCTTATTTTTAATAAATATTACCTAAATTTTTTTCTCTAATGACTTCTTTAATTTGTTCTTCATAATTAACATTCTAGTAAAATTATATCATAATTAAGTTTTTAAAATTATATCATAATTTATCATAATTAAGTTTTTACACATCAATCCTAGCATTTGCATTTATTATGCTCACGATTCAAATCCATAAAATATTTGTTGACTACAACATCCCTTATTACTCATTGTACTTGCCGAAAACTCAAGAGCTTGAAGAGTCGGTACTAGGGGTGTAAGTGAGCCGAGCCGGCTCATGAGCCACCTTGAACTCGACTCGTTAATGAGCTCGCGAGTCGAGCTTATCAAGCTTCGAGTTCGAGCTCGAGCCTACAATCGAGTTTGAATGATAAACAAGCTCGAGTTCAAGCTCAACCCGACTCGATTTGAAAACTTATCAAGCTACTCGATATAATTATATATATATATATATATAATACGCATCACATGCACCAACTTCTCAAACGAGCTCGATCTCGAGCTTTTCAAACGAGCTCGAGCTTGATATTTTTTAAACGAGTCGATCTCGAGCCCACTAATCGAGCTCG